GCCCCGGTAACCTGTTAAGTCCTCTGCGGCTTCGTATCGGCATTAGCACTATTGGGCCCCATCCGTGGTGGTCTGGTGGATCTTTGAGGTGTGCGCAGAATGCGACGCGCCGTACGCCCAGGTTTTTTATAGGATTACATGTGTCCAATTATATTAAAAAAAAGTTGAAAACAAACAACAGAAGTCGCGACGATGGGACTCAACTACCCAAAAAACTATTTGTAAAAACTCATTTAATTTATAGTAGTTAATAATGAACACAATACCCAATACAACATATTGTATCACTACCTATAGATTAGAATTTCACTATTCTACTTCATTCGAATATTTTAATACAAAAACTACTCAGAAACATCAAAAACTAAAATTACACTCTCAAAGCCGAGCACCTATTATGTTACACAGAACATCGATACGTTTGAAAAGCAATTTTCATTATTTACATTAAAGTACACAATACAGTAGCTAATAATTCAGTAGTGGATATTTTGTAAAGAAAGTTATTTTACTTGTTCAACGTACAATTCGAACTAATAGCTTATCCAAATGGATCTATTCAGTCGCGTTCGTGATATGAGAATCGTGTTGATAATATCTTTGACTATTGAGAAATGTACATTTGTCCGATGTTGCCTTTGATCTATTTTATATGTGATTGTTTGCTGTGTTCTATTCATTGTACTTTAGAAGTCAATTTTTAGTTCTCAAGTAGGGTGTGTACTGTTTTTATAATAACTATCGTGAGACATACTAAAATAACTAAAAATCGCGGGTTACTCACGTGAGCTGCGTGCGCGGTCGCGGCTGTAGGCTGCGTGATATCGCCGCGACCGCGCACGCTGCTCATGAGGAAGAACCCTTCTGTGGTTCGAAACTAGTAGAGCTTTTCTCAGTATATTCACGTGAGTAACTCGCAATTTTTAGTTAATTTAGGGTGTTTACTGTTAAAGCATTTCGATTTTGAAAATTAGGGTACGAGCATCTAAAGAACTGCCTCGCTTGCCGAGTGTTCGCAAGTGCGACTGCCGGGCAAAGGATCTCGGGTTCGATTCCCAGGGCGGAGAAAGTATTAGGTACTGGGGTTTTAAAAAAATTCTCAGTAGTAGCACGAAGTCCAGAATTATGCCCGGTATATGGCAATAGGCTCACCCCTAATGCATGGGACTCATAAAATAAATAGTGAAATGGGGGTGTTATATTGTACAGTGGCATTAAGCGCCGTAATGTGCACCTCTACCTCACGCCTGTTATTTATTGTTTATTTTTATCTATTATCTAGAAAACTAATTTGTAGTATCTAGGAAATTTATTTTTGGTATTAACATAGGCATAATATCTATATTATTAAATCAATTTGTGATTCGTGCAAATATTACACCTAACCGAATGCCAGCTTGAACACAATGCTTTGTATCTAAATCGAACTTGTTTTTGAAAAATCACGCAGAATGAACGCGGTATTCACAAATCAAATGTAAATCCCTCAAATTGTTTCCCAGGCTGCCATCCGCAGCATTACCTGAAACTTTTCGTTACATTACCTTTACTACAATTTCTAATATGCAAAATTGGACCAGTTCCAGTTCCCATAAATATTAGATGATGAACCGAATTTCTAGCGAAATATTGTAGTTTCACCTGATTTCTTTTGGCTGGACTTTAGTGTAATTAATTTGACTAAGATGAAATGTAAGAATATTTATTTCTACTATCTAAGTACTGATTCTGTATCGATACTGAATCTTAGCTTAAGAAGACACAACTTTTACCCTTTATATCAAGCAACGACAACTGTTTACCACTAAAAAGTCACGACTCCATGTAAACCAGAAGTATCATAAAAGGTGTGCTCTGACAGGTTCCTCGCTACAATGGACCCAATTAGTTGTGACTGCTGTATTATCTCTCAACCTCTCAACGCGGCCTCGACAAAGCTTCTTAATTTGCTTTCATAAAACTCCCCAAAAGTTAAGGGACCACCCTGTGGAGCCTAACAAAATACTTTTCAACGTATTTAATATACCCGGCGACAAAAGTACTCGTTTTTTCAAAGTATAAAGAGACATGTTTTCACTCTCTCCAGCTTCGAGTAATTCAATTTCGAAATATCTCGTAAACTTAGCATTTAGCTAGGGAAAAATTATAAAGAGCTTGCCGCCTGAAATGGTGGGTGCCGAGGCAGACGGGAGTGCCCTTATTTGTAATTCAGATGCGGCAGTTGAAAGCGCGGTATCGCATGCCTATCGTCGACTTTTACTCGGATAGGCTCATCTGCGTGCCACCACAATACCGCGCATCCGACTAATAACGTTTCCAACCTTCCGAATAGAAAACTAAACTCGCTGATGAGTTTCGTTTTGTATTTACTCTTTCGACGTACAAATATAAAGGATCCGGGGTCTTTGTTTATAATTTTGACGGAAAAGTTTCAGGTTTGTTGCGCACCTTTGAGCTGATGTAGCAGGTAACTCGGTAACCGGTGAACTTCATTACGACTCGCAGAATACAACATTTAATTATTTTGATTAATATGTTTAATCTTCAAGAGAAAATATGTTTAAAGCAGACAGAGTAAATCAGTTTTCCTGGAAAGTAGGTACTTATTTTCTCTGGCTGTGTTTATGTTCGAGTTTGTATGTTGGGTGGTATACATTTAGGTATGAAAGTCAAATGAAGCGTAAGAGAAAGTTTCGTGAATAAAGTTCTCCACATAAAATACCTGTTTGGTGAAACATGTGAGTGCTTTATATGTACACTCTGTTCCACTCCAGACAGCAATTGCTTCTTTGTTCCACTTTATAGAGTTTCCATTCAAATCATCCGACACACTGTTATTTCTTTGAGCGCAGCCAGGTTCAGCGCGAAGCGGTTCGCTTTGTCGAATGGTATAAAGAGCTAAGTGATTACGATACGTTTACAAAGCTTTTCGTTTCTATAGCGGTGATAATGACATAATAACGGAATGTTATAATAAAATATCTATTCCGTTTTAATATCATTATAATTGGATTATGTCGGTCCATTAAGTGAATGAAATGAAAATTGAATTGCAAAATAACGAGGTTCGCGATTAGTATACTAACATAGCTATGTACGTAGATAAGGGAGTTGATTCAGTTTGGTAATACGATTATATTACACGATTTCGTATTGGAAAATTGAAGCCACAATATTAATTTGCCCTTGCAGCATTCATATATTAGTCATGTATGACAAGTATCGATTGGGCTATATTTGGATAGGAAGGTTCTTTATTTAGTTTCAACTGTTTTATGTTGTTGGTTAACATTTTCATTGCTAGTTTGGCCCGGGGCGAACATGTTAGTTTTAGTTGGTCGGGTATAGGTATTTTATTCAAGTGAGATGTGGTGTCTGATTTTCAATGAACAATTTTCAACATTTTACCATTTGATGAATTAACATTCGTTTTGACCAAATAAGATGATATAAGTAGCTAAAATACTACTTATTTATTGTTTTGGCCACCCTTAAGCCCTTAATATATAGATAATGTTAATTAAAGACTGCCTCGTTGGCCGAGTGGTCGCAAGGGGTCTCGCGTTAGATTTCCGGGTCGGGCAATGTATTTCTGTAGTAGTTTTTCAAAAAAATGTCTCAGTAGTGGCTCGGAGTCTGGAATTGTGCCCGGTATATGGCAATAGGCTTACCCCCTATTACATGGGACTCATAACATAAATAGTGAAAAGTGGGTGTTGCATTGTACAGTGGCATTAAGTGCTGTAATGTACACCTTTACTTACCCTTTCGGGGCTAAAAGGCGTGATGTTATGTTGTGTGTTAATAATAAAATATTCTACAAAAGTGACCTCGTTCAAAGATGAGTTCGTGTCGAAATATTATTAGTGTCCGGACGAGAACAGACACCTAGACGGGCTAGTTTCGTTAGGAAATCCAATAACACGGTCCAAAACTTTAGTCAGATGTCGGCCAGCTTGCCTCCAGTCATCATTTAATCCGGCTCTAAGAACAAATTGCTTCGTTCTCTTTAACTTTAGAAATAACCATCCCCGTTAATGAAAACGTGAGAGTAATTTCTGGAACTTTTGGAAAATGTTTATTGTTGTAGTGGTCATTGTTTTTAATATTTTTCTTTTCTTACATTTGAAGGTAGATAGATACAGTAAAAGTATAATTACTAACGATCTTTGAGAATCGTTTTGTGTTTAACAGTTTAAACTGTCAAACACCAAGCTGTTTTTGGCTGGTGTTTGACAGTTTAAACTGTCAAACACCAAGCGGTCACCGGTGACCGCAACCTATTGTTCTATAATTGTGTCTACAAAACCGGTACTCGACGAGTTAAGTAGGTATGTATTAACTTTTATTGTGTACTAGTTTCTGCCCGCGACTTCGTACGCGCAATCCCGTTTTCTCCCTTCTTCTATCAAAAGAATCTTCTCCTGACAATAACAAACACAACAAAAAAAATCAGCCATTCTCAAGTTATGGCGTGACAACGGGAAACGGGTTTCATTTTTATATATATATCCAGGTATTTGCCACATTTTCTACTTATTTGACGAATAGAGGTGGTCAGGTATAATAATAAATCTGCGGTAGTACCTAGGTAGGTATATAAGTACTTCGTTTCGTTCGTCCATTACCTGTTGTACCTATAATATTGCAAAGTAACCTCTCACTGTTCAGTGTACATAAACAACTTGGTTTTTTCTGTGTTTTTATTGATTATTTTATATTATAGGCAAGTGGTTCGTGGCACATGACATGTGATAGATCGTATACTCCACAACTAATACTAGACGTAGAGATACTCGTTCATGTCCCCTGCGGACTTACTATCGATTTCATTTATAGAAAAGATACAAAAATAGCAAAACGTTGGAACATTTCGCAGAATCACTCCGGTTCCATTTTACTGGAAAAGGTACCTAGAGCGGAATTGTCTAAATGTTTATTTTAGCTTCGTCGACTCCCGATAAGGGTTTATATAAATAAAACGTATTTTTACATTCAGATCATTCGATGACTCTTTATTTACACAGTGATGATTTGGGTGAAACGTTTAATACAACCAAACGTACAGATCACAGGAAAGTAATGTACTAATTACGAAGCTTACCATAGACTTGACATTATGACTAACATTCTAGATAAACTTGTACGACCTCTCCCCGCCCCGCGGCAGGCTTCCCGCGCACCGCGGACCTCCTGCCGCTGGCCGGGTCACAATTATACATCGTAATCATTTCAAAATGTAATAAAATTTAGAATACCAACGATTTCCTAAATGTATTTAAAATTTAAGAAACAATATGTACAACGTTAGACAACAATTTCGTGACACCCGTAACAAAAATCATTAAATTCTATGCAGTCAAATCTTTCTAAGGCCGAATGCGTGATGTTAGTAACATTATTATATTATAATATAATAATTAACAAAGGTGTGTCTTATACAGAGATAAATAAAACTATAAATATGTAACAAACACATTGATAAATAACGCATTCATTGAAACGAGAGAACAGACATAAACATCTAGTACAATTTCGAGAATCAATCACTTTAAGAAGAGTGTACGGTTGCTAAGTATGACACCCTAACCTGAGGTACAGCGACAATAAATGAAGCAAAATTTCTATTATGTAACATCATTCCACAGTAATAGCGAACTTCAGACACAGCGATGCTATTTGGATGGATTTTTCTTTTAAAGTTGCGGAAATAAAACCGGACTGGCTTTTGAACACACGCCAAAAAGACATTCGGGTACAACCATTCTACATGGCCACGGTTATCATTGTGGACGCGATACCTACATACAACTGAACAGCTGTAATATCAATATTTAATCTCATAAGATTATATTTACCTGTATTCTTATTACCGGAGATTCTCGAAATGAAACAAAACTAGACACAATGAGGATCTATTTCTAGACTTCTAAGACTTTTCTCCATTTATTCTACTTACAAATATACTTAAATGATTTGGCAGTGCTGTAACAATTGTATTATATATCTATGTCTCTAATGGTATGACGGACTTGTTTCTGAATTATTTGACTAGATTAATTTGTAAATGGATTTTACTTATAGTCTAGTATTGATTTTCTGTTGTTCTCAAGTATAGTGTATTTGTCGCAGTCGTCAAGTTACTTTTTAAGCTACTCACAGTGACAATGATTTGAACAATCTCATGATGCTTCTTTTATGTATGTATGGAGTGTTCCTAAAATGATTTTGGCATCAATAATCACTGGAATTGAGCCGCTTCATTAACATTAGGTACATTGACCAAATATCTTATTTATAATTTCAAAAACGTCTTCTATTCAGAGTTCATCATAAGTTTTATTGTGATATGTTAAACATAATACTACATTTTATTGAAATTGTAGATTGAAACATGTATTTATAAAATTTACAAGGTACATTCTAGAGGTATTAGATCCAGACGTATGTATAAAGAAGTATATTTAAAGGGAAACATGAAAGTTTTTATTTTTTTGTTTTTATATTGTTTAACATCTATATCAAATTATAGAGAGACGGTACATCAAAGTCTTCGATTTGAGGATATTAACGGGATCTTATAATTTCATTTTTAACATTATCTTTCATTTTATTATACACTGAGCAACGATCATTTACATTCAACTATTTTATAACAAGTTTATTCAAACTATGTTGTGTCTCGAACCGTGCACACTATGTAGATCCTACATAACTTAAACAAAACAATGTACAACTGTCGGTACAGTATATAATAGTAATTGATTAGCTACAAGTTCTCGCTTAGAACATTCCTTGGGCGCGACTTGCGTACTTAGTCCAGTTAACTAACAATATAAGAACACTTTTATTTCTTATCCATATAAAAGAAATTCACTACGGCGCCATGACACTTCTATTCAACATGAAATTCAGCTATTAGTCTAATATTTCTATCGGAGATTGCCTTGCGATCAGATGTGTTCGTCCTGTACATCTGCCGAGAGAGAAAAAGATCATTTAGTTAGTTATGTATATCATTTCGTCTTCTATATGCGGTATTTCATAACCATAGCCTTTATCAAATAAAAATATTATCAAAATATACCACATCAATACTAACAAAATATACAACGGTTCATCGCTACTAAGTTTACAAAATACCACATATAACAAACACTTACATTACCAATTATTGTGTCAAAATCTACACATTACCTAAAGGTATAATACATAAAGCTCAGAAAGAAAAGCAAAAAAAAAGAAACATCTATGCGATATTAGAATATATTTTCATTTCAGCAATAAGTTTTCAAGTTTGGAAATTCGGAACAACTTTGCAAGGTAAAGTTCTGATGGGGGAAGAAAAGATCGATCACTGCGAAATAGATTTGTCCATAAGATTTTCTATTATCTTACCAAAACAAAAAAGTAAACAAAGTGACGTCGGAGAAACTAATTTTTCCTTGTTTTGACTCAATGATTCTTTTTGAATACGTGTTCAAAGAATGTTTACCGCAATTGTTTAAATCGAACATAAATATAAGCGTAATTTACATAAAAGAAAACAATCATATCAAACATTCATGCAAGGAAATCTCGTTAGTCAGCCGTTACCAACACCTACCATCAGTTACCTACTATATACATATTGAATGCCTAATGTTACACATTAACTGAGGTACGGTAGTGTAAATCAATGGAGTGCTGTGTGTAAATCATTAGTGTTTGATAAGGGTGCTCGCCTCGGCGATAGAAGGTTATAAAATATTCGTAAGTTATATAACTTTGTATTAAATTCGGTCAGTGCTCAATATCTACTAGGAACTGGACGTTTATAAAGCACAAACAAGCACCAAGTATAGAGGGCCGGAGGTCCGGAGTGCAGTGTGAGTGTGGGTGACATGCAGCTCGGGGTGACAACAGGGGGAACTACGGGCTCGGACAACATCTTCAAACTACTTACGTAACTACAAGGAGCGGGGGCACACGTGGAGCGCAACATACCTACAATACGACGCCTCACTTACTCCTCCTTAAATGGTCTTTTTCTCCCCATTACAGACTACCGTGTCACCTAACGAGTTCTTCTCAACCATACCACCGAACAGTGTCATACCAAAACATTAATTTAACTTAACAAGTGCATCATAACGAGATTTGACTGCATGAATTCCGGCTACGCTTCCGCAATAAAATTTCAACATGAGAACAAAATATAAAATGGACATTAATATTAATTCTTATTCTCTATTAAAACAACATTAAATTTTACATAAATAAATGTAATCTGTCAACGTTCATATGAGGCTAAAGCTATCTAGATATTTGTGCCAATAAAATAGAAACGTGTTAATTTGAAGAAATTCGTGTAAATTCATGTATTTTTTTGTTAATATTTAAAAATGCATAAAGAACAATCGTTGTAGCGTTACTTAATGCTAAGGGTTCTCGTCTGTAGAGACACAAATTAACACTAGTAACTATAGCCTAATGGATTAGAGAGTAACATAGCTACAGTTCGTAACTTACAATTGAGTATGTAGAAACAATTTATGAGTAGATCTCATAATGCTAAGAGTACCACTAAATCAGTCTAGTAGGAATAGTAAATAGGTTGTTTAGATGTAAAGACACGTGCAATCGTACAGTACGTGTGAGGTAGAGAGGAGCTAAGGCCGCGGTCTGATCTTGTATTCAAAGTATTCTTTTACATTTTCCATGTTTTAAAGTCATATTTCAAATTCTATTATCATAATTTTCTTCAGTGTCAGATTTAAGTAACACTTTTGAAACAGACGGCGGCCTAACGTAGTTTAATATTAATTTCAAATATGTTCGCACGTATATAAAACTAATTACGAAGCAGTTTTCAACTGAAACTTATGAATGCGAACATATTTGTAACATTAGTGGCGGGACAATATCGGGGATTTTACGCTTAATTAGATAAACATTTAATTGTGATAACAATGAATTTGTAAATAGCACATTACAAAATGCTCAATCACTGACTCGTACGTCACTTTACTAAGGGGGGAGGGACTGGGGGAAATTTATAACGTTCACAAAACTTGCCTGAAGTTTACAACACCTGGAAGGGGGATACTTTGACCGTTGAGTTGAGATAGAAATTTCACTCGCATTTCATATTTACACTGTACTTAATGAATCTGCACCTATGCGAAAATGATTCGATCGCTAAGAGTTTCCTTCTTGTTTACGTAAGAGATATAGAGGTATTATCTTACTCCGAAAGTGTATCGATATTCGATTAAAGATGACGTGTGACTGAATTGAATTCTGTTCTAACAGGCTATGTACCTAATGGATCAAAGTTGTTAGATAAGTCATTACTTGATTAGACTTACACGTGCGTGCTTATCAGCAATGAAAGTAGACTTAGGTACACAAACATTGGAGATTAGGTGACCTAACATTTATTGTGTTTGATGATACTGTGGGGTTTTTGAACATGTATTAATTTGTGAGCATTATAGTAACGTAGGAGGACTTTTGGGCGTGTAAGTGTGTCATGACACTTCGGGTTGCGGAAAACGTATCAATTAAGCGTGAGGAGGTGACTCGCTCGAGTCGCTAGAACGGTCGAGTCTCGTCTAACGACCAGACCAGTAATGAGGGTCGAGTGCGATTCTATCGGTAATCGACTAATCTCATCGCCGTCCGATTGTGGGAGAACAATTTACTAAAACGAGCCGTTTCCTATGAAATTGAATTAATCGATTCGAATTGTTACTTCCCGACGTACAGTTTAATAGGCCTCCTTTGTTTTATAGGCCCTTATTCTCGTAACTATAGGCTAAAGATGGTCTTAGTGGGATTAGGAGGTAGGATTTTTTTGAGTTTAGGGTAAACCTTAATATAATTTAAGTTTATCAAAAATAAGAAACATTAGAAAATAGGTACAGGTACAAGTTTTGACATGTTTTGTTCTGTAGTAGTTAGAGGGCTGAAACAAACATTAGAGAGAGCTGTGAAGGTCGGGTGAGTGAGGTTAGAGGTAGCTCTCAGAGAAGTCAAGGTCAGAGACGGAGGCGCGCGAGGAGCGCGTGTAGTTGGTGGAGGTGCCATAGTCGGAGGTGGCGGTGGCAAGGTCGGCCAGCACGCCGCCGCCGCCCGTACCTTGCGTCACGCCCGCCGCAGCCGCCTCCCGCTCCGCCAGCTTCTGTTTCAGCACCCGAATCCGCTCCTCCTTCTGCAACAACACAACTCTTTAACAACTCATCTTTTGGGAACGTGGATCCTCGCGAGATATTTGTGAATAGGTTACGCTTTATATTTAATTATAATCAGACTGCCTCGTTGCCCGAGTGGTCGCAAGTGCAACTGCACTTGCGACCACGAGACCCATTGCCCGTCAGTTGATGGGCAATGGGTCTCGGGTTCGATTGCCGGGCCGTGTAAAGTATTAGGGAGTTTTTAAAAAAATACTCAGTAGTAGCACGGAGTCTGAAATTGTGCCAGGTCTATGGCAATAGGCTCACCTCCTATTACACGGACTCATAACATATGTAAATAGTGAAAAGTGGGTGGTTACATTGTCCAGTTGCATAATGTACATCTCTGCCTACTCCTTCGGGGACATAAGGCGTGATGATATGTATGATGTCTAATTAGATTTTAGATACTTTAAATACGTGGGTCGGAATCTTCATCTACCAGTTTTTTTTTATGGCATACATAAGCCGGTAAACGAGCAGACAGCTCACCTGATGGTAAGCAATCGGCGTCGCCCATGAACACCAGAGGCGTTACAAATGCGTCACCGGCTTTTTGGTGATTAGGAGTTTGAGGATCGTTGCGGATTCAGGGATTGGGGAGATTGGGGAAGGGAAAAGTAATTGGGCCTCCGGTAACCTCACTCACACGACGAAACACAACGCAAGCGTTGCTTCACGTCGGTTTTCTGTGAGGCCGTGGTATCACTCCGGTCGAGCCGGCCCATTCGTGCCGAAGCATGGCTCTCCCACACTTAAGTTTTCTAAGATCCTGTGTCTCAATATTCGGTCCCATAAAAGTCAGCTAAGATTTTGAAACCACTAGACTAACGATGATACCTCCACAAGTTTTAATATAATTTCAGTGAAACTTATGCAAGTACTGCAATTTCGCAGCACGATAAACAATTCTACTGAAACGGTTTCTGTTTATTGGTGCGAAATAAATGTAAAGTGACTCCGAGTTCGTATTCTGTAAGAGCAGATGCTGTGCATCTTTCAATTTGCACAGAATTCTTGTTTAACAATATTTTTATTGTTATTAAATAAATAATGAGATGTCTTTGTAGCATATTTCTTTGTTTCATACATGTAAATGAATTACCTCTAGATAAATATACTGAATAAGTATCAGCTGAACTTTGCGGTTGAGTATGGTATTTTTTTTTTAATGGAGGAAAATCATCGAATGACTGCTCCCGCCTGGGTGAGGCGGGAGAGTGTGTCAGACTCTTACTGACTAAAAACCACCCCGTTCTTTCTTCTGCACGTCGAGCCGGAGCCCCGGTTACCCGTTAAGTTCTCCGCGACATTTGAGTATGGTATAAGTGCAATTTAAAATTGGACAAAATATTACCTATGTACATAATTAGTTGTTGAGATGAGATGATGATGTTTGAGACTGCCTCGTTGGCCGAGTTACTGGACAAGGGGTCTCGGGTTTGATTCCCGGGTAGGAAAAAGTATTACAGTGTTCATTCAAAAAAATCTCAGTAGTAGCACGGAGTCTGGAATTGTATATGGCAATAGACTCGCCCCCTATTACATGGGACTCATAACATTAATAGTGAAAAGTGGGTATTACATTGTACAGTGGCATTAAGTGCCGTAATGTGCACCTGTTACCCCTTCGGAGATAAAAGGCGTGATGTTTATCTTATATTTAGTTGTTAGACTTTTACGTAGAGGGTATGGATCTAGAATTCTAGATTCTGATATTTCAACAGCTTGTCTTAAGAACCCAACTTAGGTTCCCGTGGGTGCTATCACAGCACCTAGACAAAATACAGCCAATGAACGGAGCTCAAAATTAACGTAGCAAATTCTAAACGAAATTTTAAAGGTCAACGTACGATTAATATTCGCTGAACATTTTAGTTTATTGTCTCTGTCTCCTCTGAATTAGAAACTAGTTGAATAATTAATTATCTTCTCTGTTTACTGTGATACTAAGCGCTTATCGATAATGTTCTTCAAGATTAGAGTTATCTGATAGCGCGGTAACAGAATTCTAATTAAAATTGTAAATAGCTGGGAATTAATGAAATTATTTGATTTTACTATCAATTGAGTTATAAATTGCGTAGTTATCGAAGTGTTACTAATGTTTGTATTGATATAATATTGAAAAGAAAAGCATAACATAACATCGCGTCTTTTATCCCCGAAGGGGTAGGCAGAGGTGCACATTATGCCATGGTACATACAAATGTTAAATTTAATTTTCATATTAAATACACATCAACAGCAGCTTATAATGCCCACTGCTGAGCAAAGCCTCTTCTCACACGGAGAAGATCTGAGCATTAATCACCACGCTTGCTCAATGCGGGTTGGTGATTCAATTTTTTTATACACTAAATATAAAAAATATTCAACTTATTTTGATTCAGAAGTAGCGATGTTATTTACGTAACATTTATGAATAGTAATTTCATATCTAAAGGTGTTATTTTGATTCAGAAGTAGCGATGTTATTTACGTAACATTTATGAATAGTAATTTCATATCTAAAGGTGTGTTCATAGTAACGTTTGAAATATAATATTCATAATAGTTGCAATTCTACGAAGCAACATAAACATTATTTGTGCAAACAAGAACAAATCTCATTTAATTCTGGACTGTTGGAGGTGAAAGACGTCCGATGCAAATAGTTTCTGGGTACTGAGTAGCTAGAATAGTTTATATTGCCAATGCTTTGCTGTTAATACCTGGTACTGAAGTATGAAAGGGTGTGTTAATTTTCAACAATACCTATGCATGAAATTACAAGTAAATATAAATAATTTAAGTGTGGGAGAACCATGCTTCGGCACGAATGGACCGGCTCGACCGGAGTGATACCATGGCCTCACAGAAAACCGACGTGAAGCAACGCTTGCGTTGTGTTTCGTCGTGTGAGTTAGTAACCTAACTTAGGACGAAGCACGGCTCTCCCACACTTAAAAATTAACGAATAAACCAAGAACACTGATGAATGGATCATAAATTAAATAACATTATGCTTTCAAATTCAATTAATGTTACTATGTTTGCATTTTAAGCCACACAATTAGATTTATTTGATAGTAATATCGCTAATGACTTTTCAATGGCATTATTTGTTGAATTCAAACGACGTAGCAGATAAATTTGTGCTGTAAATATAAATTTCATTTTGTAGGGAGATCAATTATGATAACTATTAATATGTGTGTAGTCCAATCTGCGGTAATATTTATTTAGCTTTCTAAAATTGATTGTGTTTGCTTACGTACATGTAAACTAGTGTTACCAAACTTGGTTTTATTCATATCAATCAAATATTATAGGTTTATGAATAAGAAAAGTGACCACTAAAACTGAATTGAATAGAACTTGATACTATTACTACAACTTGAAGTAATACTGTCATAAGTTTCTGCATATGTTTAGGAATCAAAATCATTTATGCAGAGACTGTATATGAAATGTTCCACTATAAAAGAAGATTCATCATCAACATCTTCCAAAGGAAACAAAACGAAAAAACTATTGTCGATTTCGGAACAAAAATGTGGGGTTTTTTCGTTCACACTGAGGTAGTGCCAATCAGTTATGTTTTCCCTCCGTATCTTCATGAATACGCATCGGTTTTTGTTTCACTCCAAACGTGATGTGTGGAGTAAAATATCTCGCACAACTTTACGTAGACGGCAAAAAAATGTATTGCGGGCTTAAGGCTCATTTTCGACAACTATGAGATTCTTTGTTCAATGAACAGGTACTTTATTTAACGAACTATGTATCCTACCTTCAGACGAGATGAATTAAACATCGCACACCTTTAGGGGCTAGAGATAAAGTGGACTTTATATTTTTTGGAGTAAGTGTCAAGATTAAGCCTTTTCCTCAGAGAGGAATCTCTCGTTTTGAATAATGAGTCTGTGAAAGTAATCCATTATGGATGGGAGGGACTTTGAACGATGTAAGAATACTTTGTTCAGTGTTTAACGTTTAATTGAACTCAGTCAAATAGATAGTAAACATTGTCAGTAGTAGAACGGAGCTTGGAATTGTGCCCGGTATATGGCAATAGGCTCACCCCTATTACATGGGAATGACATAAATAGGGAAAAGCTGTTACATTGTAAAGTGCCGTAATCTGCACCTCTCCCTAGATGATAAAAGGCGTGATTTTTATTTATTTTTATTTTAATCATAATATATAGTAGTAAGTGATAGCGATAGTTGCAATTTTTTACTTCTAAATGTCAAAAGAAGAAGATATTACTCTTCTTCTTTTGACAGCACAGGGTTTCGATGGAATCTATCTTGCTATGTGGTAATAGGGAACTTTAAAGGGGCTAATACTTAACTTGTGAGTCTATCTAACCTACTTAAATAAGACATAGATAAAAAGAGTCAACTATACACGATGAAATCTTTCGTTTTCGTTCTGAGGTAAAATGATTTTGTCTTGCTAGTGTTTCATATGGATATTTACTTACATTAAAACACATCTTTATTTTTTTGTTTTCACTTTATACATACATATACTCCTTATGGCAAGTTGTTTTGCAATTGGGATGATGACAGGGTATGAAAATTAAAAATCTAATTAGTTCGTAAGTTAGGTAATTAAAAAGTATTAGACACGTATTTTTTTATTTTGTCGTATAATAAAACAATACTTAGATAAAACGAATCAAAGTTTAGTTCATATAGAAGTGACGCCACAAGCCATTTCAAATCAATATATCGGCGAAAATATTCGTTTCTGTAAGAAATTAAAAAATACGTGTTTAATGACTTAAAAATAATCTACGAGACGGACATTAAAATAAAAATTGAGCATCTACCCTATTCAAGTTACTATGTTTCGCTGCTGCTATTTATGATGCATTCCATTCTAGTATCTACTGTTCTTATCATAAGAGCCCGGTGGTATCAGAAAATTGAAAGTAAATCGGAGATAGTTGGAACAATCTGACGCAGCAAGTAAACAGAGATAAGA